GCAGGCCACACATGCATTACACACACGTAGCAAACACCGGAGACAGGTCCTCTGTAGACACACACACACACACACACACACACACACACACACACACACACACACACACCTGGAGCAGGCCAAGCCCCTCCTCTCCACCCAACAGGTTGATTGACAGGAGAAGGAGCCTATGGCTCCTCTGCCCTCAATCTCCTCCCCGCAACCAGAACGTTTGGGAATGGAGGATTGCTTTGGGGACCGGCAGCGGTGACAAGCGGCACTGAAAGGTAAGTGTGGGAGACACACAGAAAGGTACTGGGCATTTTTTACCTTAATACAGAGAATGCATTAAAAGGTAAGAAAATGCCCTCCCTTTAATACTACTTTACCTCAAATTAATAATGTAAGGGAAGCCCATATACATACTTTTATCTCCATCATCTGTTTTCAGCAATTCTGGTGAATCCTCTGTGAGAGATGGGGATGCTTTTTCCTCTATGTGATTGTTTACAACAGGCGACACGGGCCGGCTTCGTAGCAGCGGTGACATACATCGCCTCCTCTTTGGGATGCCCATCATGCTAGGCTCTCCTGGGCGCTTCTGCTTGCTTTGATGACCAGATACAAATTCATCTGCTTCATCAATCATCATACCCTGGAACGAACAAACAGTGAACACCATCAGCATTAAAATGCAAAATACAGACAGGACACCAGATGAGGATGGTACAGTAGGGTATTGTAACAGGTGTTTTGTGGTGCTGTACACGTACACCATTTGGTAATTACCTTTTTGTCCAGTTTAAATGGATTTCCAAATGTATGTAGTCTCCTTGGCTGGTCAGCATCTAACTCTCTTAAGGGTGAAGGGATGTTCCTTAAAAATTCCTGGTAATTTCCCATTTGAACTATGGGTACACTATGCACGTGATCTGTAAAGGGATACATTCACAATAAAGTTAAGAAGAGATAAGGAGGGGGCAGGGGTGATAAGGGGGAAGTGCATTCCTCGAATTGTGCAGAAAGGGAAGCAAGTCATATTTAAAATTACTTTTTTCTTCAAAAATAGAAAAAAATCAAATCAAAACAGCGTTCTCTAATGTGTTTAAATGCCTTACTGCCCTGCAAGATTTAACCTGGCAAAGGACACTTATCAAGTTACAATGGGATCTCCACCTGCTTAGCGATTAGCACTGCTAAATAAAATCTGGCGGTATAGAAGTATCCCAAGTCCAACATCACACAGTATATTGCTCACCTTCGTCTTGTACGCTGAAGAACTTGCGTGTTTTGAGAAGATTTGTCCTCATTCTTGTCAGATGATCCAGGAGACCGCTTCTAGATATGTCATAGGCATTTCTAAAAGTCTGTGGTTTCATATCCTGCACAATATTAAGAGCCAGTAAGATGCAGTTCAGAAAAAAAATAAAAAAACTACACACAAAAGTCCTTACAACTTCAACAAACCTTATTCAGCAGGGCTATCTGGAAGCCAGGAAACTCCTTCACATTTACATCTAACTGCCTCTGTGGCACTTCACCTGTAATTTCCTGCAGTAGTTCTTTAAAATCACTTCGGGCAGCCAATGAAGGTAACATTTTGCCATTTCTTACTTTAATACTGGTTTCCTGTGGATATTTTTTCCCTATGGAGCTTATAACTCGATCAGATTCTATTTTGGCCTGGGGAAAAAAAAAAAGAAGAAAGCAACAGATTAAGATTACATTTCTAATATGAAGATAATACAAAAGGATCTGAAGATGAAACAGCTCAATCACCTCATGATTTTGACCCCATTTATTGAGGTTGGGCTTAACATAAGCAAATATTTCTTCAAAATACCCTAAACAAAACTCCTAACTCACCAATCCGGATTATGCATTCATTGGTCCTGCACGCTACCAAATGATCTAATACTAAATCTAGATCTGACTGCAACTCACAGGAACCCCTGTAGAAACACTGTAGTTGATGCATGATATTACACCATTTCAATACAACAGCAGTCTTCTGGACTTCATTATATGATAAGGAAACCACTTATCCCTCTAAGGCAATGTAAACAATAATAAAATGCATCCTGTTGCTACAAAGGATGCAACATGAAAACATTTTGCCCATGCAATAAGATATGCAACGGCTTATTTTTACTCTCAGGTCCATGAGCTCAAGCAGTCACAAGCATCTCACTGGAATGGGCCTTGAAGTTTTCCACTATCACGCAGTAAAATGGTAAACCAGGTCGAAAAAATGTGCCCGGTCACCAGGTCGAAAAAAAGTGCTGCCCGTCACCAGGTCGAAAAATGTGCCCAGTCACAGCCAGTTGTCTGCTGAGCAACTTTATGGTCATCACCAATTAGATCACTCAGGTGCCTTCAACACAACGCATTTAAGCCTCAGAAAACTACTTCCCGTTGCCGAGAGCTGCATGTGAAGGCACAGGTCATCTTTGGAAACTCAATGAAAGCAAACAGGTTTTCAAGGCCAGGCTGCACCAAACCAATGAAAGCAGCAGTAGCCTGGGAGCTACTCGGCAGTTGATCAGTATGGGTTCTCTGAAGGCAGACTCTCACACCCACCAATCAATATCAGGAAATAGAAGAGGTCTCCCACTGTCAGACTGTAAATTCTTAGGAACTAAACCGTTAAAGAAGATACATTGCACTAAAGATAAAATTGGCCCGTCTATCACATAGATCTGGAAATGTTGAGATTGCATAGGTAATGGGTTGTTTCCCGATAATGTTCTTTTTCTGAGTTAGCCTGCATCGGGAGCTCGGGGGGGTGATCAGCGCACTTCCTGGGTGCCTCTGGGATATATTGTAACTGAACACAGCTTTAATTCTTTCTATTTACGGCTCTTGATTGTCACATGGACCGAGGTAACCCAGCGGGGTTTTTCGTTTGTATTATTTTGTAATGGTTTGTATTATTTTGTATTGCTTTGTATTATTTTGATGAAAATCTAATAAAATATTTTTGAAAAATAAAAAAAAAGATAAAATTGCTGGTATCAGGCAAAAAACTTGAATGCTGGAATCCTTCGCTTTTCTACTGCAAGTATTCATACTTCAATGCACAAGCTCAGTTATTGAGCTAATGTGTTGAAATCCAAGCTACACAATGTTAATGTGCATCTGGCTTCATTAACTATAATTTTCCCAGTCATTTTCTCTGTTGTGCATTGCAGCTTTTATACGTTGTCATGATGCCAGCAAGACTCTAGGTACTGGATCCGATTTGCAGCACTTTTTATCCAGCTAACTAGGTCAACACAGAATAGCATTCATTCGGCATCCCGGCGCCTGTCAATGTGCACTCCGCAACTGATCACCAGTGAGCCACAAAATGATAACAGGGTTTCAGTAACATCATGCTGTACCTGTTGGCTAAGTTTTTTGAGGTAGGAGACGACGCTGTAGCTTAATCCATATTCCATGTTTTCGGGAATGAGGTTTGGAGCACCCATCATTTTTAGTGCCTTCTTTAGAGGCTGAAAAATAGGAAGAAATTCAGCACCAAAACAGGATCAAAAGCAAAACAATGACAGGGACTTAAATAGCTATGATACAGACAAAACACTTACTCCAATATAGTATGGTGGCATTGTTTTCAAGTAGTTTTCAAAAAGCTGCCTCCACTTTAAAGATGGTTTTGCCTTGTGCACTTTAAACAAGTCGTCTGTGAGGCAATAGGGGGGGAACAAAAAACAAAACGCATTTTTAGTAGCTCATTTAAGAACATGCACATTACAAAATTTCTTCTGCTTATTTTTGGTTTACATTTGATTTTCTTGTTAAACGAAATCTGTGCTGAGTGCAATGTGAAGACTGCTACTGTTGATCTCTTCTGAAAATACTACTCTCCTGGCTGTCTGGCTTTCATATATTCTTGTCTGCAGGCTTGCTCTGGGAAAGTTCATAAAGATCTGAAGCGGGAGCATTAGCATTCCTACCTGGCAGTTTGCCTTTTCTGAAACAGGTCGGAAGTCTATGTATTTCATTTAAACACAGATATACTTTAAAGAATGCCAAGTTCTTTTTTTTAGATTAACCCTTGCGCTGCAAGGGTTAAGTTGTCGTTTTGTTCTAGGGCTGAAAACAACAAATTTATACTCACCTGAACCCCCAAGCTTGCTCCTAGACCAGTCTCTGGAGTGCCTCTCTCCCACTCCACTGCAGCGGTCTAAGGTCCCCGAGTCATAACGTCCTACACAGTGTGTAGGACGTGAGGAAACTGAGGGACATTATGCTGCTGCAGCAAGAAGCGCTGTTGCAACAGGTTAGCTTGGAGGATCAGGTGTGTAGGACTTATTTGCAGCCCTAGACCCAAACCAGCATTTAGCCCTTGCAGTGCAGGGGTAGCCCCACTGCAAGGGTTAATTTTAATTACCCAAAGTTCTTCTTTAACCAGTTGACATCCACGGTGTTAAACCCCCTTCCCATCCAGGCCATTTTTCAGTATTCAGCGCTGCGGTACTTTGACATTTATTCCGTCATGCAACGCTGAAATTAATTTTATACCATTTTTTAGGGACAGATAGAGCAGCCAGATGACTGACAGGTGAATGCAGAAGTGATGTAACACACATCACTTCTGCATTCACAGCCCGGAGGGAGGTCAGCAAGGAGCTGATCTCCCTTCCTCTTGACGCCCTCCCGACCCGATCCCGGGCCGCAGATGGGGCAGCGGATCCCGGGATTGAAGATTGAAGGTGAGGGGTCAGGGGAGGGGGCAAAAAAAACGGCGGCCGCGGGGGATGGGTGCGAAAAAACGAGCACATATAGACGATCAGCAGGCTATGGAGCCGCCGATCGTCTATATGTGAAACCGATAGTCTATATGTGAAACACCCGGTAACGGGTGTTTGCATTGGTTGGGTCTTTTCTGCCCGTGCGCGCCCGCTGGAGACGGCAACCCACCAATGCTGCAGTGCCGTCCGTCCGTTTTTTTACAACGGGCGGACGGCAAGTGGTTAATTGCCTGCAATTAAGGTTGATTTTGAAGTGTTCATCAATGATGGAGCTGCCCCAACCCCCCTTTTAGTCAGAGAATGTACATATGTTCTGAGACTTACCTAATAACGGGAGAAGAACGGGATAGTTGTAAGGCATTACAAACAAGTTGACACAGTTCAGGGAAGTGCTTGCTTTCAAGTAGCCAAAAGGATGCCCAAGTTCACTGTACTTGGCACTGTTTGTTACAAAAACCTGGTTAATATAAAACAAAAACAAAATGTCATCACTGAGTTGCCTGTATCACCAGTTCTCAAAACACTTTCCCCAAAGCGTATTTATCACCCAAACCTCACCTATTCTACACATGAATGCAGTGCTGGACAAATCCCAGTCGCCAGGTTACCATGGTAATGAAAAAAAAAGCTCTCTGGCGATTTAGTATTGCAAAATATTGTTTCATTGATCACAGTTCCCCTGGCCACTGATTATTGGTGTGTAGTAGAAACAGGATTTCTTTATTGACTGCAACCCCCCCCTGGCCGCAATTAGATGGCGCCTAGTAAAAACCTGGATTTCCTCAGTCACAAGTGTTTCTTCCTCGCGGTGTATTCTTTGTTTTCATTTCTCTTATAACAAGGGAAGCTGGATAAGTTTGGGTCAGTACTGAGAGACTGAAAGCATATGGGTCAGTACTGTGTACGTATGAATATAGATAAGTACGGTGAACCAAAAACAGGGCAATGGAGACCAGGACCATCTGGGTCTGTTTTCATTGCAAATCGCACACACTACATTTACCACATACTACATTTGTATAAATAGGTCAGTAAAATAAAACCTGGGAAATACCAATCATGGTGACCAGCTGTAGTTTGCTGGCTTGTAAATTATCTTAGCTGGCTACTAGATTCCACAAGATTTGTCCAGGCCTGCCTACGTGAAAACCATTAGGAAGTGCTTTTAAACACATTTACATTGCATTTTACTAAACATTGATCTTGTAGTTTCTCAAAAGATAAATGTTGCCAGGAGGCAATCTAGCCCACCACCTTCTACCCATGACTGATAAAAACTTACAGGCCAACACGTATGTGGTGATTTCCTCTCCAAAATGTACTGCGTCAGAGGCGATGGCTCCAACTCGTACTTGTCAAATGGCAGCTTATCTATGACCATCGGTTCAGAATTTGTGCAGGAAAACTTCACAATGGGATGGGAGGACCGCGGGGGCTGTTGACAGAGAAAGTGTATATTACCCATATCAAAGTACAGTCAAAATTGGGATAGGTCTCTAAGCAAAACACATTGAGGGGAATTTATCAAAACTGGAGCAGGCAAAATCTGTAAGCAGCTGTGCATGGCAACCAATCAGCTTCTCTCTTTCATTTTAAAATCTTAACTGAACAAACTGAAGAGAGAAACTGATTGGTTGCCACGGGCAGCTGCTCCAGAGTCTGGTGCAGTTTTGATAAATTCCCCCCCATTTAGTTTTCATTTCCTGGCATGTAGCAGAAAAACCATGTGCCCTACAGTTAGCAACAATCTGCTATATGTAAGGTGTAAGACGTTAACGTAAATATCTGGTTGTTCACAGATCTCTAGTACACACACACACTCCTGGACTTACTAGTGTTGGAGAATTCTGATCTGGCCAGAAGGATTCTGGCACTGGCCAATGACCAAGAGGGACGCCAGTTTTGGGATTTGGTCGAACATAAATTAATTTCCGACAGCTGTGCCAAGGCTGGACTCCAACTGGCTTGATGTTATCTGTAATTCCATCTAAAAGGGAAGAAGCCATTTTAAATGAGAAATATTTACCACATTCTGCAACAAATATAATGCATGTAGTTTTTACCTGCGAGTCTGTACAGCTAAAGCAGTGTAAAGAAAATCCATACAGTAGTCTCTTAACATTACAGACCGAGGCAAACACAGGCCTCCTGGTCATGGAAAAACTTCATTAGTTCATCATTAAATCAAATTTTAAAGTGTATTTTCACTTTTGCAGCCAAATTGGCATTACACCCACTTAACGAGGAACATTACCCAGATCTTCAAAATAACAAAAACACACCTTTAGAAATGTTTAGCAATGACAAACTACAAGAAGATATTTAGATAATTGCTGGCTTTTTATTTTTTGCATACCTTATTTTTCAATTCCAGTCTTCTCACAGTGGCCATTTTTTTAAACTAAGGACAGATAACGAGGTATCCCTTTACTTCCTGGAACTCTGGCGCATGTGACTAGGACATGTGACCATGCACATCTCAGGGGATGAAAATGCCTTTCCCTCAGATCTCATGAGATTACAGATGAGATTTCCCAGCAATGCTCTGCTGATGTAACCTTCCCAGGATGCAATGCTTGGGCACAATTGCATCATGTGTGCCAAAGTGGACCAGGAAGTGGGGAAAAAAAGAAATTGTAAGTAAAATAAAAATATGTTTGTTCAGCGAATGAACATAAGATGATTTCATATCAGTCTGCTTTTTAGTCAAAGGGGGTAAAGGTCCACTTTAACCACTTGCTAACCGGGGTTTTTACACCCCCTTCCTGTCCAGGCCATATTTCAGTATTCAGCGCTGCGGTACTTTGGCTGACGTTTATTCCGTCATGCAACGCTGTACTGAAATGAATTTTATACCATTTTTTGGGGACAGATATTTTTTACTATATAAACAAAAAAGTACCGAATATTTTTTTTTAAAATTGTTTTCCCTTTGTTATTTTAGGAAACATTTATTTTTACACAATTTTTTGGTAAAATATAAAAGGCGGGATCACGTCGGGTAAATAGACACCAAACATGTCAAGCCTTAAAATTGCGCCGGAGAGTGACAGAGGAATGCGGAAGTGATGTAAAATACATCACTTCCTGCATTCCGAGACCAGAAGGAGAACGGAGGGAGATCGGGTACTGATCTCCCTCCGTTCTCAGTGCACAGAGCCACATCGCCCGGGATGGATGGACGCCCGGGATCGCAGTGGCGGGGACAGGGACCAGAGGTAAGGAGGAGGGGGGCGCACCTTCAATTCCATCATACAAGCGATCGGGCGTCTTCACAGACGCCGGACCGCTTGTATGCAAGACGCCCACCCGCATCCAGGAGACTCCCGGCCGGCCGTCTTTCAACGATCGGCGGATGGGAGGTGGTTAAAATAATATATATATTTTTAGGTATGCTGTGCAAATGGGAACACGTGCCATAGTACGGGCTTTTCAGATTTAACTAAGAAAGTGGAATTACATTTTAAAGTCTAACTCCAGGCAAAGTGGTAAATAAACAGATGGGAGTACATATAAGTACGTTTGCATTTCTGACAAAGCTGCTCCTGCTTTATTACCCTAGGACAGGGGAAGAAAGGAAGTTCCTGGCAGTTTCACCAGGGTAAAGAAAACATTTTGGTTTAGATAACTGTAGCAGATAATTGCCCTGCCAAACAAGACTGCACTGAGTGGCAGATGTCAGAACTGAAAGGACAAATGCTGCAGCAGGTAATATATCCCCTAGTATGTATTTCATTAATGCATTTAGCCATTTGTCTGGCTTTAAGTCACATTGAAGTGAAGCATACAGTATTAAAACTGGACTGAGACACCATCCAGAACATATTTGGAGAAGAGGGGGGCCCCACTAGGTTCCCAGGATTATTCTTTAAAAGGAGAAAAGGAGAGTGCCAATGCCAGTGGGCATTGGCTCCCTTGCCATGTGTATGTGAACAAAGTGTCTATTTTGAGAGAACTGTCCTGGCACTTTGACTAAGCCAGAAACAAGAAAGTAGAGTATCTACATACAATGCTCCTGACATACTGCAGACAAAGTTTCATTTTTTTTTTTAATCCAGCTCGTTTTCTCAGTCTAATCATTACTCTCTCAACCTTTCCTTTCCACAATACTGTCTTAAACGGTTGTTACTCTTCTCCACCCCAGCTTAAATACAGTGTATGTGTGTGTGTATATATATATATTAGGGCTGCGTAAATTAACGATTAATTCCTCGATTAATCGTTAATTTCTTTGATCAAAAATGTTTTGATCGGTACTCACCTCTCCGCCGGCTTCCGGGTCTTCCGGGAGTCCCGTCGCAGATCCGGTGACGTCACGGACATCGACGTCACCGGACTCCTCCCCCCCCCCCTTCCCCAAGTGGCTCAGTCGGCCAACGAAGGGAAGGGGGGAGGAGCCCGGTGACGTTGATGTCCGTGATGTCACCGGACTCCTCCCTCCTTCTGCGTTAGACGACGGAGAGAAGATTCAGAAGTGTCACATGACCACAAATTTTGGTAAGTAAAAAGGGCTTTTAGGTAGGTTTTTTTTTTAACTTTGTCATGTTGACTACTATCACTGAAACATAAAGATAGGAAATACCAAATTTTTAGTTGTCAGCAGCACATTAAAAATCACCTTATCCCTGTCCTCTCCCCCTATTACTGCACTTATCACCTCAAGCTCATTCTGAACTGGCATCCGGATATAACCTCCAGGACACGGAGGTATGAGTGTTTATATAAATCTCACTCATCTCCCTCACCCTCCTGCTTCTCCCAACACCTGGGAATATTTCACTTAATCCCGGCCGTAAACTATCCACATTTCACCCCCACACACCCAGCACCATTGTTCCACTAGCAGCAGCCCCAACAGACACGAATTCTATTCTCCTGCTTCCAAGAACCAACCCTCCCTTTCTCATGTGCCCTCTGGAATGCCCACTTAGTCTGTAAGTGCAACTATGTCATAACCTTTTCTTTTCCAACTGGTTATATTTGCAATTACTGAAACCTGGATTCAGGAATCTAAATCTTCCTCTCCAGCTGCCCAATTCTATGGTAGCCTCCAAATGGACTCACTCACCCAGACCCAGTCGATGAAAAGGAGGTGGAAATAGAAACCTATTCCCACAGAGCGCTTTTAAGTTCTTCCTACACCTTATTCTCCGCGCCTCTTTTCTTTTAAAGCTCAGTATTTGTCTTTCAGTTTCTTGAGAATTGCTCCGATTCATCAGCCTCCTGGACTGGGATCATGCTTCCTTGACTACTTCTCTACCTGGCTATCCTTGGTGACCAACATTCCTGTTAATGGTATCACCCTGAGTATCTCTCCAACTACCCTGATGGCAACACCTTTGACCTTGTATTCTCCCACCTCTGCACTCCTTGCAAACTCTCCAACACCCCTTTTCATCTCTCTGATCACAACCTTATCAGTTTTACACCTAGTACGTCTTCAAACAATATCACTGCAACAAGCAAACAGTCACCAGTAGAAACCTTGGATGCTTCAACCCTTTTCTTCTGTATTCTGCTAATGACTACCTCAACAACAAAATCTCAACCTTCTCCTGCCCTAACCACTTCTATCCACAATAGCTCATTTCCTTTTTTCCTAGACACACTTGCTCCTCTCACTAGACAGAAAAGTAGGCCCTGACCACCACAACCCCAGAAAAACAAATGTAGGCCCTGACCACTACAACCCCAGGAAAAAACAAACAGAAGTTTTAAAAGACCTAGCTGTGCTACTGAGGGAGTGTGGCGTAAACATAAGTCACTACAAGACTATGCAACATATAAAAGTTGCCCTCAAATATATTTCCTCCCTCCAAGCTGCCAAACAGACCTATTTCATTACTCTCCAATATCCTCTTATCCAGTACTCATCAACTCTTTTCTACCTTTTACTCTGTCCTCCCCTACCACCACCCCTAACTCATTCACTGCCCAGGTCATTGCCAATCATTTTAAAAAACAAGATACATGCAATTTGTGATAAGATCTAGACGGTCCAGTTATCTCCCTGAACATGCCATTGTCTACTCACTTCTATTGAGAAGGTTGCCTGTATCACCACCTGCCCCCTCAACCCCATTACCGCACAGCTACTTTGGTTACCCTCTTGCTCTATTCTATGCTTTCTAACATCTTCAATCTCTCCCTATCTGACATTTTCTCCTCCCATCTAAAACATGCACTGGTAATCCCCATAGTTAAAATGACACTAAACTCAGGGGTTAAAACTTAAAAATGCATTCACTTATCTTAGCTGCTAACAAAAATGTAGTTAATTTTAGTATGCAGATCCTCAAATTTCCTCTAAATTGGTGCTGACACTGTCCTTCCTTCTGGAGGGGGGCTACTTTTGTTTCCCATGGTCCCTGTGTGTTGTAAAGTAGTCACCGCTCCAAGGTCACTCCCGTGATGGACTATAAGCTCACGTTTAGGTGGCTCATTTGTATTGGAGTTATAGCTACGGGAGCGAGCTTGGAGCGGTGGCTACTTTACAAAACACACACAGAGACCATGGGTACAAAAGTAGCCCCCCTCCAGAAGGAAGGACAGTGTCCGTATGAATTCAGAGATGATTTAAGGGTCTACAGTCGAGTGATACACAAATAAGATACATTTTTGTTAAAAAGGTAGTTGAATGCATTTTTAGTATTTAACGCCCGAGTTTAGTGTCACTTTAAAAAGCACTCAATGGAATCTCTCAACTATTAAAGCTCCCTCTTTGTTGGCCTTCTACACAAGCCTGCCTAACAAGTGAAATGTTACTTTCTCAAACAGCTCATCCCCCACACAATTACCATCTTCTGTATCACTTACCCTTTTTTTTTAGATTATAAGCTCCCACGAGCAGAGCCCTCCTAACCCTCTTGTCGTGAATTGCATTGTAGCTGTACTTTCTCCTTATTTTGTAAAGCACAGCACAAACTGTTGACACTATATAAATCCTGTATAATATGATACTGGTGCTCTTTGTTCCATAAGTTGGCATGAGAAGACAGTGACACATTATTTACCAAATGAAGAACTCAATGAACAAACTCTGAAACGTGTTCATTTATAAGCATCTACAGTAATGCAGAAAGAGCTATATTGTTGCCAAGTCTGCCTAGTGCAACACCCAGCAATGGGAAATAAACATTTTATAAATTGTACAAATCAGCTGGCCTAAAAAAACTGAGGGGGAAAAAAAAAAAAAAAAACCAATTTCCACTCCTATAATCCTAAAATCAGTGAATGCAGGTATGCAAGCTATTGGTTAAGTCTTAAAATTATTTTAGGCTCCTTGAGGTCAGGGACCGATTTAAAGTGCTGCGTCAATTGTGGGCACTATATAAATACCTGTAATAAATAAAATAAGAAAAGGTCAAACAGCACTACAGATGCTGCAGCTACAAGGATATTCTTGAAGCCTGGTATACACACCTAGTGCTTAAAGCACGCCTCTTTTTTTTTATTTTTATTTTTTTAACATCACCATTGTATGTTGTGAATTTATTGACCACACTATAGTATGCACGCAATTCTTAACACACACCTCTGAGGGCAAGTATGAACAAATGATAAAAGAAGCCAAGTGTTAATGCCTCCTTGCAATATAGCACCACAAACTGTGGTAATCTGCTTCTCGTGCAGCAACGGTCTTTCCATGTGCAGTTGGCTGCTGAGCAGCCAGCAATGTACCAAGCTGCTTCCAACAACCTCCCTATTTCCACACCTTGTCAGTGCTCTCTTCATGAGACCGCCAGGAGAGGTAAGGTGTTTTCAAATCTATCCTGCTGTGCTTGTAAGAACTTAGAGATACAAATATTTGACTGCTCATAGCAATTGCTTGATCTGGTGTGTAGACCGTGTGTAGAGCAGGGTCCGAATTGCATTGTTTTAGCAGTATTCAGACTTTGGGACAGGCTACAGCACAGTGTAATCAGAGCCCTGTCATCACCTCCGTGTGCTCTGCAGTGAGCCGCTATTAAAACCTCATGACAGGCATCCAAAAAACCTGCTAACAGCTGAAAATGATTTTAAACGATAGAAACATTTACTGACATAGCAACAAAATCTGAGAGCTGAACTTAGGGCTGTGTAGGTATACTGCAGGAGAACAGGAAGTTAAGAAACCTGTGTGTTGCCTATGTAAACATGCTGCTGGAAACTGCCAAAGCCTGGGGCTGTATGGACCAAAGCAAAATACTGGTTCACACCTGGGCGTTTTACAGCGCGTTCCTACGCGCTGTAAAATGCTCAACATGTGAAAACCAATAATTGCCTGTGGGCATGGTACCCATCTGGGCGTATTTCAGCGCGTAGGAACGCGCTGAAAAACGCCCTACACCCAAAGAAGTACAGGAGCTTCTTTGGGGCGTTTTGCCGCGCGTTTCCATTGGTATTCCCAAGTGTGGATCGGGGTTAACAAAGCGGTAACCCCGAGCCACACTCAGGAATACAACGTACAGGACCTACCTTATCCGCGATCCCCGCTGTGTCCTCCGGCGGCTGCCGACTTCCGTCCCTTGCGAGCGGCCGCGTCGCAGGGGGCGGAGCCAGCGGGAAGTTTGAAAGTGAAACAAAAAAATAAAACATTTAAAAAAAAAAAAGCCAGTGAAACGCGTGTTTCACTGAACTGAAAAACTTGCTAAAAAAACGAGCAGAAAAAATACGCTCAGGTGTGAACCCAGCCTTAGGGTCATAGGGGGACATTTACTAGGGTCATAGGAGGACATTTACTAGGGTCATAGGAGAAAAAAAGATGAGCACATGTCCAAACTCCAGAACAATGTATTATTGTATAGTGTGACACAGCTATATCCAATTCTGCATACCTGGCTTTATAGTATAAAGTTCTTATAATATAAAGCCAGGTATGCAGAATTGGATATAGCTGTGCCACACTATACAGTGTTCTGGACATGTGCTCATCTATTTTCCCCACTATGGGGGTACAAGCCTTAGTTAGCAATGGCATGATGAATATTCATTTCGTGTTCATTTCATGTTCATGTTCTTCATAATATGAAGAAACTGACCTAAAATCATGATTTTGTATTGCTTTAGAAAACATGTGACCTGTCCCTTTAAGAAAAAGTATCGGTAAGTACTTGAGAAAAAGTATCGGTACTCGTACTCGGTCTTAAAAAAGTGGTATCGGTGCATCCCTAGTCATAGGAGGACATTTACTATGGTCATAGGAGGACCAAAACCCAGCATATATGGGTTGCACCCAGCCACCTGAATGACAGCTGGAGTCAGCACAGGAGGAACATGGAGGAGAGAAGGGAATCCCTGCAGGGAGCGGTGACTGACAATCACTACTCTTTGCAGTGAGAAGATAAGGAACAGGATGATCAGTAGTATGTGATCGCTCTGTTCATCCATAGAGCTGACGTGTAACGGCTTCAGGTGTCACACATCAACTCTAATTATGGGGATGACTATTTCACTCTCCCCATAATTCTCCTTTAAAGATTGTAAAGCACACACTTTAGTGAGGATTTTCCGGGTCCGTATTGAGGTATATCTGAATTATCAAAATAAGGAATACTAAATGCAATTACCATCAGAAAGTGGAGGATCAGGTCCAGATTTTTCAAAGTTTATCACCACACCACTTTGAACTTTTTGTGCCAATGACTCCAGGCAGTGATTCAACATTCGCTGCGAGAACACACAGTAAGAGCGACCTGGAAAAAAGAAGAAAAAAAAAAAAGGGAAAATATAAAAAGATTTTCTTCAGAAAGAATATGTGAATTTCTGTCATAAAAGATTATATCTTCCAGAGACTGAGTTCATACGTTTTTACATCTTTCTACCGACTTTGGGACACTCATGCTCCGCCTCTCTCAACTTCTCTCGCTCTTTTTTTGACATCTTTCCCTTTTTCTTACTCTCCTCTTAGTCCTTCACCCCCAGTCTGATGGGCCTACCTGATTCCCATATTGATCTGTTCTACGTTTCCTTTTTTGTTGTACCACAAGGCTTTCAATTTTGGGCACCAGGTCCTTTTAGATCCAGCCATGCGACTGTTGATATGGCCTACCTGTACTTGGTGCACTGTGAATTTTCTTTCTTAGAGAACAGACTGACAAATTGTGTCATGTGGGCTTTTTCAAATGGTCATTTGAACAGAGAAAAGTTCAGCACAGGATGAAACAAAGCTAAGCTAAAGCCTGCTATTCACTGTTGCCGGATGTGCATTTGACCACACCAAAGTGGAGTGGAAGGGTAAGTTAAAGGATTCAAGAAATATATTTGAAGGTTGCTGAAAGCACAGCAAATGCCTTATAAAAGCTTGCTATACACACTGTTGAAGTTTGGGTGCACAAGGCCAAACAGGTTTAACTTAGATCTGGCTCCACCTCACCCCCCTGAGTTCTGGCAGCAGGAGGCCCACTCACATCAGGTACAATGCAGGGCCCATATCCCTGCATCATATCTGAGAACACCAAGGGACAGTCCACAGGTGGAGTATAGAGGAGAGTGCCCCCCAGAGATAGGCCTTAAAGTCAAAACTCCTTTTGGATACAATGGTGAGGGGTTAGAACTTCTGTCAGTTTTTTTGACTTATCACAGATAGAAAAGGTAATTCCAAAACAAAGAAAAGAAGAAAAAAGGAGGCATACCAACTGTCCAGGACATTTTGTACCAATTTTAGAACAATTGGAGTCAGAACATGGTAGAATTCACACAGCGTGTTGTGTATATGCGTGTGCCTAATCTGCAATCAAGCTCAGAGCCATCCGCCATCTTGTGAAAGCAAATGGTCGCACAAGCTTACTGCACTTCACCTGTGAATGTTGAAAACTGTTTCTCTGCATTGATCCGCGTTACCCCACCTGTCTAAGCGACCGTTCCTCTTAAAGTGACGGCAACCTTTTTTTTTGCAAAAACATGAAACATGTCTAGATTAGGCTCTGAGCACTCTTATCGCTGGATCAATGCAGATACGTCATGCTTCTGACAACACAGATATACAGGGAGCAGATCCTGCAGATATCGCAGAGCGTAAGACCCAAATGCACAATAAAACCAATACAGAAACTCGGAAAACTATGAAACCACTCGAGATGAGTTCTCCAGCAATCTGCCAGACCTATTGCACATAACTTCACACTGCTTGGCAGTTTTGCCACGCTTTAATGATCAACTAGCTGAATTGAGACTCTATAGATCACCAATCTGCTGGCTACGAATGTTACCAGCAGAGTTGAAAGATAAAAACCAATGGCACCAAATGTGACCTTTCTTGAGGAAAGAGGAAGAACTCCAGAGGCACGGGGGAAGCTCCTTACAGTCAGGGAAACTGGACATCTAGCAGAAGAGAAGCTTCTCGTCTGTTACCAGCGGCTGTCTGCAAGATATACAGCTTTCTTAAAAGGACTACAATATAGAGGACTCTTCAGTAGAACAAAGATTGACGCACTAAACCAACAAAGGGATCTCTAAGCGCAAGATGCTAAGTATAAGGCAGAACTCCGCATTGCTCATCTGCACGGGACCAGATCTCACAGATCCCCATCAACTAAGATCACAAAACGTTCTTATAGATCTTCTCGCTCCAGAAGTTCAACATTAAGTGACAAGCTAATAGAGGCCCACATAAATATGGAAGCAACTAAAATGCTAGACCTTTGCTAGAAAAGCTGAAATGGAAGCTCAGAGCAAGGCTCGCCAAACAGACGGAATCCAACATAATGATTTTGCAAATGTAAAAGGAAGCAGATGCTTGAGCAAGCCATGGGAGAAAGTACTAATTCGGACGGTTCTATCGCAGCAGAACCGGAAGATCCCGTTGAACGCACCAGTGAATATGTGCTAAAATATAATGTTTGCAATGATACAGTCATCTCCTGTACCTCCTACTACCAACACTGTCCCGTTTCTCAATGCAACGACATCCAAGCTACAAATTCCTGAGCCTCTTCAAGACCACCATGCAGATGCATCTGCACAGCAAACCCCATCACCCTCCTGCCAACAAGGTAATTCCCAGCAACAAGACCAAGACTACATTAAAAAACACAACCCTGCAATAGTTCTGGTAGGAGTATGCACCAGATTTCTTCAACAGTTGTAAACTTTCATCTTCTTTGGATGAGCAGGAATCCACTGATGCAAATACTCAGGCCAATGCATCTGATTTCTCAAGCATCACACCGGTAACTCTGCAAGAAGTAAACCGCTTGGGAAACCTATCAGAGTCTTCCACACCAATCATCATCCATGATCATTCTCCTCTTCATGAAGAGGCTATAGACCTGTTCCAAAGGACCCAAGGTATGCTTTCTAAAGCCATCCTCAGACTCCAAAATATTGCCTCAAACAATGCTGCTGTTATGAAAGCCTTTCAGCCTGGCTATCATACCACAGGATTTAAAGGCTTAAATCTGGAAATGGACATACCCCCTGTACAGAGAAATCTGGGCTTAAGGTGGAACTTATTAAAAGACACCTTCAGCTTCCAAGTCAGCTCTGCATAAGCTATTTCCCAAATGTGGTGTTCTGTCAATGGTGAACAACCTATACGATCCATTGAGATTTGTGGCTTCCATTACCTTACAAGGTAATTCCTTACTGAGACAGCCATCAGAGACTATAAAAAAGACTAGAATGCTCCCCTACCAATGGACAAACATTCAAATTGGGAGTTCTGGAAGCAATCTCTACATGCCTTAGATGGAATTCACATACCACACTGCTACACTTCAGCTTCCCTTGCTGCAAATCAGAGAAAAGAGATTCCCATCTTCTCCACTGAGCAGCTGTCGCCTACCTCAAGGTAAGAGACTTTCAATAAAACCCATGTAGGGTTTCCATTTGGCAAAGTTAGCACCTAAGCCTGAACATACAATTCCTAGGCTTGAACTTTGTAGGACTGTGCTAGCTGTAGAAACTGCAGATTTTCATACTATGTAAGATTGACATTCAGATAGAGGACATAATGTTCTATACAGACAGCAAAGTTGTTCTGAGCTACAGATACAAATCAGAAAACATTTCCAGGTCTATGTCAGCAACCTTGTAGAAAGAATCAGGAAATCCTTCAAGCTTGAACAATGGCATTATGTTCAATCTGAAATTAATCCTGCAGATCATGCCACCAGGCCAGTGTCTGCAAGTGTATTTGCAAATTCTGTTGTTAAATGGTCCTGAGTTCCTGCAGGATCATACAGAAGAAACTACAACTGATGTCTTCTGGATATGGACAACAACCCAGAAAATCGTCCTGAACTCAAAACCCTAGTCATCAGATCTGAGCAAAGATTCAACTTGGGCTGTCAACGCCTCAAACTTTTCTCCAACTGGACAAGGCTTGTACGCACTACTGCAAGGTTAGTCCATATTGCATACCGTTATCACATGAAGCCCAATTAAACTAACTGGCATACAGTATGTGACAAAACTCTGCAAAAGACATTGCTAAAAAAGAAAAAAAAATGCAACAATGTATCCAGATTTTTCACAGCCATCCTTACTCCAGCTACTCTTCTCACCCATAAGTTGGGAGCGCTCCCCATTCCATTTGAAGACTTTACAGTTGGAATTACATGAGTGCCATAGTCTTCAGCTACTAACCTTGCACCATTCACACCAAGGATGGACTTGTTTAAAACTACCTTCAACTAACTAAAGAGACTATACTATTTTTATCTCAAGCCCTTTGCAAGTTTCACCTTCTATGGAAAGGTGACCTAAATCTCTTTAAGGACAAGTCACAGGTCATGTTTATGGACTCAATGCGTTACGGTTCTTGTTGCATATATATGCATGTTCTCTCTAATGCCTTTTAGGTCTTCAAGACATCAATGCGAATTGCACATCGCTTATTTGCATTTTTCATAACTATCGTTATTTTAGAACTTAGTGGTATCGTACAATACCAGACGGGGAGTATGCGGTTACATCTATTGTATGAAAATAAGATACAATGTATAGTCATGGTTAATATTCATATTCCTGTGAATTGAGAATTTAGATAGTAAAATTTTCCTTAAAGTGACATTAAAGGCTAATATTAGAGGTGCACCGAAATGGATATTTTAAAACCGCAATAAAAAAAAAAATGTCAGGCCGAAACCGATACAGACGCCGGCCGTTCACAGCGCTCTCGTCCTGCAGCGCTCGGCAGGCTGTCAATTTTTTTTCTCCCCGCTGGAACAGCGGCCAGTGGGGAGAAAAGAAACCAGGGATGCGCCGATGTATCTGCCGAAACATGGCTTTCGGCATTATGCCAAAAGTGCCATTTTCGGCCGATATGTCGGTGCATCCCTAGCTAATATGCAAAAACATGCGAGGGTTTAATAACCCTTTAAGCCATTGCTCATTAGCATTAGTATAGTTGGTTCATATACTGCCATCTTGGTGCACTAAACAAAATGACCACATCTTTTTTCTGTGTTCCCTCCCATTTTATGATGGATTTCCCCTTTTCTTCATCATTATAAGTTTCTCACCAAAATGGCTGCATGACTCATGGCCACGTGTTAATATGCTCGTATGGGGGGAAAGCATTACCATCTTTTGACCTGTAAATACAGTCTTTCTAATCATCTGCTATATCCTGTTTGTGGATAAAAAGGTATTTGGCGAGTTCAGCTATCTGATAAGGACTATCCGTGGTGATTGTATCTGCTTATACAGGCCAGGCATAGAGGTCTCAGCAAGGGATAACTCACTAATACAACAATTGGAGTCAGAATACCATTATACCAGGGGTGCCCACAATTTTGTGTTAAGATCTACTTTTCAAATGACCAGCTCAATGAGATCTACCAACAAAGGGCTTTGCAACGCACCTCCCGCCCCAGAACACAGGGTAGGTGCGATTGCACGGTACAGTGCGTTCATCCCCAAGGAATGTGCAATGAACGCACTGTACTAGTGTGAACAGGCCCAAAAACTGGTCATACACTGATCTATTTTTTGTTTGTTTAACCTGCGGGCTGAACAAAAACAAAAGAGCAGATTCCTCTATCAATGCTATGAGCACTTTGATCGAGGAATCCCCCGTGTTCTTTACATTCTGACAGAGGCCCGTGGCCGCTGTCAGAATACCCACACAGAGGCAGCAGCTCATTGGCTACCAGCTCTCCTTGTAGAAACGTTTTCCCAATGGCTCCTTCAATCAGCTGATCGAAGGGATGTCCGCAGAAAGGGTGCTGACAGCGGCACCCACTGTTCAAATTTCAGCGGGTTCATCAAAAACCAGCTGAAATTCGCACAGTGCAGGGTCACCTAAAGTCAAACCTAGCACACTTATCAGAGAGGTAAAGTATGAGACTATTACCTGTAATAGCCAAACTCTGTCAGCATTGCTGCCTCTTTCTTTCATCCTTTCAGACCTGGACATTTGCTCTTAGCTGCTGCGACTCCCCTCTGCCTCCCTCTCTCCCCTCCTGCCCAAGAAATAACTCATGGTGCTGGCAGAGCTGCAAAGATCAGCCGAGTCCCGCCGGTGTTCCATCATTCCGGATCAGCACAACTCCCGCACACTCCCATGACAAACGAAGATATAAAGCGCCACCTCCACGATGCTGCTTTTTGTAGCCAGGCCGGTCTCCTCCTGCTGAGCAGACTTGCGATCGTGGTCTGCCAGCATTAGCTTTGCGATCGACTGGTATATCGCCATCGACCTATTGGGCACCCTTGCACTATACCATTATAATATAAATTTATTGACCAAGGTCATTATGCACAAGTCTACAGTGAATGTTTTGAGGATATCAAATCAAGTTATACTCCAGAGAAGAAACACTCACCTCCAGTAACATCACACATAGGAGTGATTGAAGATTCATCCACCTGGACAGCAGTCATCTGCTCTTGCTCAGCAGACGTTGCTCCAGGTATCCTAAGGACTAAGGCAAAAAGTCTCTGATCCCACCGAAATGGCTCTTTTGTTAACTCGCTTCCAGGTAATGGAGAATTTAAAGGCAAGTGGAGCTAAAAGAAATAAACAATTAGAAAATATGAACACATTTAAGCACCTAATGGACGGTCACATTTAATACAAAAAAGCAAAAAGAAAACCTAAAGTTTCAGAAAACAGAGTAACCAGATTCTGTGGCACCAGAATGGCTGCAATGATGGTGATTTAAACAGATTTTTGTTTTTGAAGGTTGTTCTGGTCACACAGCAGATAAGTAGCACTTTGGAACAGGTAAGAAAGCTGCACATATAGCAGTATCACAAACATTTAACTCAAAGTAGAATGTTCAACCCAATTCTACCATATCACACAGAAAGGTCTACCTCCAACCACTATACCCATAAGTAATTCAAATCCAAAGTTCATGTATATCAACTTAAGAACCTAACTTAATAAAGCAAACCCAAAAGCAAACTGTGTGGACGGGTTTGATTTTAGATTTATATTATTATATTGTAAAGCGCTGCGCAAATATAAATCCTGTATAATAATAATATATTAACATGTATTTTAACATTTTTGACATAAGGTACTGAAACATTACTGAAGGAAAGTGGTAAAGTTACCCAACGTTATAATACTGCTAGGCTCTTCTAAACACGTTTTTCTAGTTACTACAGGCAATGCAGTTTCCCACTGTGGTAGTTTTTATTAACTTCAGTGCTTTTCCAACTGAATGACAATGAGAACAAGAGTCATACAACAAATGGCATTTGTCACAGAGAGAAATATATGTTCTTACTTCCTCTTGAACACCACTGTTGGATGTAAGTTTACTTCCATCTGTTATTGCAATAATGATCGCAGGCTCCAAGAAGAAAGGATTTCTTCCCTGTGGAAGAAAATATGAAATTAGGTTAACTTAAGGTCCTGGGTTCCTTTATCATCGAGGCCTCTATCTGCAAAGATTCTGTACTTGAAAAGCCTTTGAAAAAGTTCTCCCTGTACCTGCATGTTTTCTGCAAGTTCCTTCTCACAGACATAGAGGTAGGTCAGCTGCCTTCCTCAAAGTGATCGTACAGTGTATGCATGCATATGACTGTGGAGGAGATAAATTGGGGTGAAAGTAGCATTCACTGCTTTATTATTAGGTATGAAACACAGACATCAGTATATCACAGCAGAAAGTGAATATTTTAAGCACCTGTCTGATGCAGTTGGGAACCACCATGTGCTATGAAACTACAACTCCTAGCACTGTTAATGGCAGGCATAGCAAACTGGGATGAACCACCTATGACGACAGACAACAGATTGCCTCATACAAGTTTATCATAACTAAATATCAAGGCTCTAAAAATTTCCATGACTTTGTACAAAGGCTTTCAAACAACTTGCTACTGGTATCTTCCAGTCAAATAAAAAAAACAAAAAAACATAAATTTAAATACAGCCAACATAGCAAAATTCTGTGCACCCCTTCTACAGATCACAGCTATGCAGCTAATCAATTATTTAGCAGTATGCATCGTGTTGATAGTCAGTTTAATCAAATAGGAAAATTTATTTTAAATGAAACTTGATAAAACAAGTAGCATTGAAGGCCATGGAATCTTAGCAGTTCTACATTATCACAATGGTTTCTGCAGCTAGAACCAACTCCAATAGTGACATCTACAGGTCAAAGAAGAGTTTAACTTGATTGGTAAACATTACTGATGTGCAAACAATAGGGGAAAGACCAGAAAAAAACAAAAACACTGCTGATAATTAGAAATCTGCTATCTAGCAGATTGTTTGGATGGTTAATTTACACTGGATTTACAGATGTTGAGTAGATTACCGGTACTCAACATCTGACAATTGGCCATAAGCAGTAGGAACAGCTCAAACATTTACATTTTTCAAAGTAGAGTAAATGAAAATGCACCTCATATTGGAAAAAGGAATCTGAGGAAACCACAAGCACAAAATGGGAACAAAATAAATCCAAGGCATGACACATTGCAAGAGTTAGCTGTGTGGATGTAAATGCTGGAGTATGTTGCTGACACTCAGAACTGAAGATTTAGCATGATGGCTGCAAAACGTCCAACATTACAAGTTGAGCTGAATGTGACTACGGTAACTACTAGCTATGCCATGACCCGGATAAATGAGAGCTCTACATACAAAAGACATCCAACCATTTACAGGACAATGGGCAGTTGAGTCTCAAACTATCCAGACAAGTAAGACACCCCGATGCTTGAAAACCAGCAGAGCATCTTATGTTTGTGTGTACGGGTGCTCACTGAAAAAGTATATAGAACATTATTGCCATATGTCCCCATCCCTGGACACCTTCTCAGATACAGGTGCCGGACATTTGCAATATTTATGTATTCCATATTCCTAGGCCCAGTTTCATTGCAAAGTCTACGAGCATGGTAAGAGATTCTCCATAAGGGCTTGTTCATATCCAAAGTACGCACTAGAAATAGGAACCAAGATGCCGCCTCCTCTTCAGGACAACACCCAAAACGAAAGTCATAAACATCCTGGAAGGAAGTTATGCATGAATGGATCTAACCAATTATAAGCTAGAATGCTTTTTGTAATGCTACGATTAAACATACACGTGCAGCTGCCTATAAAAGACTGTTAAGCGGAAGAATAATAAAGAAGTATCTTATACACTGAACAACTTGTCTCAGCGTTCCTTTCTTCTCTGAGTGTGGACTCTATTGAATCAGGCCAGGCGGCAGATATAAGTACGGAGCCTTTAATCCGATCCAAATTTGTGAGCAGGTCCAAAACACCATCTCCAGAACGGATATGGATGCTTTTCTGTAAACGTTTTAATGCATTCTGGTGCGTTTTGTTCTCAATGGGTTTTAAGTATCCAGTGCTTTCTGGTGTGTCTGCAAGTGTCTTTGGTGTGTTTCAGAAAAGAAAATGCAGCATGCTGTACTTTCTTTTAAAAGCTCTGGAACAGACCACAAATGGTGTGAACTAGCCTCATTTTTACCATTGGAATTAATGTGTATGCATTTTTGGCCAAGATGAAAAAAAATCTGCACTGGATCTGGTCTGCAGATGGTGTGAACAAGCCCTTAATGTCTTTCATTAAACAAAACCAGAAAGCGAAGTTCTCCTAAAATAATTCTACAACCTGGAAAATCTCACACATCCTTTGACAAAATTACATTAAAGATTTTCAAAGTGGCTGATTTTTTGGTTTTGTAAAACGGTTGACTAGAGGGGATGTTTATCATTCTAAATCGGGGTGGACAAATGAATGTGGAATTTAGAAGACAGTCTGTCCATTTCAGGAGACTGAAGGATTTTTTTTATTTTTTTTTTAGGAACAAGCTCCATTGATAACAAGAAAAAAAAATCTCAAAAGTTAGGCACAAGCTGTAATTGTCTTTGCCATCATTGGATACCTAGCTCCTGGGATTTGTCCAGCCCTGCTCTTTCTATAGTCAAAGTGGAGCCCCAGCCCAATTCCCATTCCACTTCATTAGTCATAAGAGTAAAACAGATGCTAACAAATACTCACCCTTCCCTTACAAATAAATTCTCCAGGACCCCTAGAGTGGAAAAGTCAAATTCTGCTGGAGGAGGATCAGAGTTCAGACCAGCCATTCCCCTTTCATAGATAATGTAACAGAATTCCTATGCATTTGGTCACTCAACCGCCTGCTGTAAACTCCTGCAGCAATAGTCACTGCAGCAAGGTTTATCATGGCTTCTGTTACTCATTAATATTAAAAGAGCATTCAATCTCAGCCCACACTGGGATCTTGAGTGCCTACCGTAAGGCAATACGGTTTACAGTCTCTTCTGTTCGATTGACATGTGTCACAGCAATGTCTGTCTGCAGTTAGAAGTGCTTGAAGCTCCAGTACATTAACAGAAAATGACACAAAGGATGAAAAACTACCCAGCCTCAGAAATTTGCAGTGATGATCAGTTTAAAGCCCAACTCCAGGTAAGGCTATGGCTCATTTTGAATACCGCAGGGAAGAGGTAGAGTCATGATTTTATTGCCTTCTATATCCTCATTGGGGATCTTTTCCTGCACTTCTTGTCTGGACAGAGTGGAGTAAAACTTCTCCAAAAGGGGCAGGAAAAAAAAAACAATTCTAAAATGGGGGTCACACACACAAGTTGAAAACCAGACAGTTGAAAAAAAACAGAAAATCTGTCTGGAGTTAGATTATATTCATTAAAGATGAATGATTTTAGTATATTTGCACTGTAATAATAAATCACGAATGATGAGATGTGCCCCATCTCTGGCTGCTGCAACACATGTCATCTTAGTATTGGTCAGCCTACACTGAATTGTCAATATCGAGCACTGAGATTTCAAGTTTGAGCTACAGTAGTCTGATCACAGTGAATCGCATGCTGTATCCCATCCTCCATTAATAAAAAGCATTGTGTTTTCAATGAATGCAAGGCATCCTGTGATTGGAGGAGGTGCATATGATCATGAGCTCCCCTCCTCCAATCACAGAACATCTTGCATTCAAAGGTATGCAAGCCTTCTTCTGAATGGAGATTGGAGGGCTTCCCTGTGATCAGCGTACTGCAGCCAGAACTTGCAATGTCAGTGTTGGAAATTCGGTGCTGACAACAATGGTCGAGTTCAGCTTTAAGAAAGGTTTACAGCATAAATACATTAGATGGTAGAAAACAGATAATCTCACTAGAGACTTATCCAAGCAGCACAGAAGATCCAACCGCATGGACCACACATGGAACAGTCTCTATGGCAGCGACTAATCACTGCTTCCATGGCCTGTTACACTGTCATTGTGGGACTGAACTGCTGAAATTTTATTTATAGAAAACCATCATGGTCAACAGCTTGAAGGGCATGGTGCAGAATTGGTTGCATGCATTCTAAAAGGACAAAGTATATGATGCTGGATTCCCACAACTGGTAATATGCAAATATGCTAACCTGACATCACAAGAGACCAGTTGACTGTCTTTTTCGTCGTTCGACTGAACGACGAAACATCAGGAATCGTTCAGCTGAGAGGCAGAAGTTTAGTGTCTTGGTTTTAGGGTTCATCCTTCAGAACAAGATCCAACTGAAACCACCAAAGAGCACTGTTCTCTCAGAACTGAGCACAACTACCAGAGATGGACTAAAGAGAAACAAAGTCCTTAGCAACTCTGGATAAGAAAAATATTAAGGTGAAGAGAGAAGAGATGCAGCAACCGTTACATCTAAAACTTAGGAGTCAGAGATCAGGCAGGTGGCTAGCGTTCTCATACTTTTGGTAAAAGCAGAAAGCCAAAAACAACTTTATTGACTCCATAGCCGTTTTAAAAATTGGAGTTACGTACCTGGTAACTCTGTTTCTAGGAACCTTCCAGGACAGCATTAGAGAGATAGGCTCCTCCCACCGGAACAGGAAACACATCACCCACACTTAAAATAAAAAGGAGCACAAGCCTAGCACGCTTCAGTTAAAACATAAGAACCGAATAGGATAGGATAGGATAGGATAGGATACCATATTGCACTCGTTCATAGAATTATAGATACATATACACATATATACACCCATAATAATATATAACCTTACATTGCATAACCACGCATAGTAAATAACTCCACCATATCGGGCGGGAATCCCTGCTGTCCTGGAAGGTTCCTAGAAACAGAGTTACCAGGTACGTAACTCCAATTTTCTCTAGTCACCTTCCAGGACAGCATTAGAGAGGATAAGCGAGCACCATACTCACAATCAGGGGGGGGGCCACAGCATACAGGGCTTTCACCCGAAAGCTTGATCTTGGTTGACCGTTAAGTCAACTCTACAGTACTTGACAACGACAAGAGCCTGGACCAGTTAGCCCTGCTCTGGTGTAGCCCCTGCACGCTTA